CGGCCCGTTTTTGGTTGCGTTTCCACTAGGGCTAGCTCCGGCTAGCGGGTACTTTTTCACAGTTTTCTGGCCCTCCAAAATCGAGGTTCTTGCCGGGCCAACAACCGGGCTGAGTATGCTAAACTAGTGAGAGAATCGCTGGCAACTACAACAAAATGAACATATTTTACAGTGATTTAATTTTAATACACGTTTCAAAATGATGCAGAAGTAACAACATACTGATACCGGTTAGTAAAAACCATGAATTAATGCTTTGACAAGTCTGCAGACAGACGGCAGGCGAAAAACCTTTTAAAATGTGTTTTCTAAATGGAGACCGGCTAAGCTAACGCCGTATATGCTCCGACCGTCCACACTCACAACAACGGCCTACAGACATAAATAAACCAGCGACTGTATTCTCCATGACACAGAAAGTCTATGGTTTGTCCTTGTTTAACTTTTGTCTAGTTTCTGAACAGATATGAGGAGCTGTAAGCTTGAGTGCTAACAGTTAACGGCTGATGTGGTTTTTCTGAAGATGATGTCACGGCTCCGCCTACACTGCGTTACTATAGTTACTACCCCAGTTCCTAAACTGCAATGGAAACGCAGCATAAAGTGAGCCTGGCCTACCGAGGCCTAACTATGCCGTGCGAGCCCTGCAGTGGAAATGCGCCATTACACAAAGTTGTTTTTCAAAGTTTGTCATTGAAATATTTTGAAACCCAAATGTTTCTATCTACCCTCACAGGATGAAATATATTGAGACAGAGCTGAAAAAGAAGAAGGGTTTGGTGGAAGCAGTGGAACAGAAAGTGAAGGTGAAGAATGCAGAGGACCACCTGTATGAGCTGCCAGACAGCATCAACGTCAATTCTGCAAAGAAGACGGAGGAGATGTTGTCCAATCAGATGCTGAGCGGGATCCCTGAAGTCGACCTCGGCATTGAGTACGTACAGGACATTTTAAAGATAGTCCTGTAGATGCATGGACGTGACTAACGGACAGAAGAAGGAAGCCACTCTGTTACTGACGGTCTGTTTTTTCCTTTCACAGTGCGAAGATTAAAAACATTATCCAGACAGAGGATGCAAAAGCCAAACTCCTGCAAGAACAAAGGAACAAGAAAAAAGACAACGGAACCTCATTTGTTCCCACCAACATCGCTGTCAACTATGTCCAACATAACCGCTGTAAGTGCTGCAATCTGTAGACGTTAGATATCAAACAGTAAGAAAGTAATAGATATGACTTACTTGATTGATCCCATATTGGGTAATGTTTTCGTCACAGCATTTTAAAACAAGGCATTCTAATAATGTGAAAATAAAGAGTAGAAAATAAACAAACATCAAATATAAAAATGTTGATAATGAAAGATACAAATCTGTAGACTATCGGTCAAACACTATGAAGGGCCAAATTACAGCTAACAAAATGCAAAAGTAGGATATTATTTACATTGAGCGAGCAAGGAATAGCATATTAAATTAAATATAAATGTACAGTGTGAAGAAAAGTCCAGTCATCAAAACAGAAACGATGGATCAGTGAGTTCTCTGCCAGCCAGAGGTGAGTTGTTGTTGTTGTTGTTGTTAATGAGGTGAAAGGTTGGTTAAATATGTAATATGTCTTTTCACAGTCTATCGTGAGGATGTGAACGCACCACAGAGGCATCAGAGACAAAGAGAGGAGCCCAAAGCGAGGGCGCTGCGTGTGGGAGACACAGAGAAACCAGGTCCAGAGGGTAAGAGACCGCCACACGCTGTTGTACTTGTTAGCACACCCTAACAGGATTATATAATAATAATAATAATACAATACATTTATGAAGCGCTTTTCCTGGTGCTCAAAGCGCTTAAAATATAAACTTGTACTTGCTTCTATAAACTCTATGGATTAGACTTCCTGTGTTGCTAACTGCTCGTCTTGCCCTTCTCCACAGCTCCGTCTCCACCTAACTATCGCAAGCGTCCAAACAACGAAAAGGCCACAGATGATTACCATTATGAGAAGTTCAAGAAGATGAATCGACGATATTGAGAAGCTCGATGTCTTTTTTATAACCCAACTTGATGTTCATCTTTTTGAAGATAACATTTGCAGACCAGTTTCTCAAACAGCTGTTTATTGGAGTGCTCCCAAGCCAGTAGTACTTTGTAAATATTTGTCAAATGTTGGGGTTATTTGTCTACTCAACATCATTGAGGGGATCAAGGAACAGCATATCAATTGTTAAATGAGGTATTACGTAAGCTTTGCTTGTCAGTGCATTGTTAAATGTTGACTTTTAGTTGTAGAATTGTGTTTTTGGCATTCAAACGATTAATAAAACGTAAAACCAAACGCTTTAAGTTGTTCTTTAATGTGCCCAGTGCTTAAAGTAAAAAAACAAAACATAAGAACATTCAAGCTAAGTCCAACATCATATAAAAAATGTGTACGGGTTATTAAATGATGTACATTTACACAAGAAGTTGTCTGATTTGTGTTTGCCTAACTCAGTATTGTATAAACATCAAATAAGCCAAAGTACGCAGAAACATACATTCAATTCAGAAACTAAATTAAACTGAGGGCAATGTTACTTTGATACATTTTACATAATTATTCCCATGTATTGTTCTGGTTTATTACCCCCTTCATTTGACTGTAATACCTGTTTAAGTCCATAACACATCACTCTGGCAGACGTTACTTCACAATGTAAACTAAATAAGCTGAAGTACAAATCGACCACGAGAGTTCAGAGTCCGTTATTCTCCTCAAGGTTTCTCTATAGAAGACGTCCCGTGTCCGTTGAGGTGGTGCTGGGGGTGGGCCTCCTGTGAGGGGGGGGCCTCCACGTCCTCCCGCTCCCCCAGGGAGGAGCTGCCGCTGCTGCCCGGGGACGCCCAGCTGTCCCGCCGGCGGTACGCCTCGCACAGCGGCAGGTCAGTGCTGTCCCACTCACTGTAGCTTTGCAGAGCGGAAACCAGTAGGAGGCAAAGGGTCAGCGCAGCACAGAAAGAGAGGAGCAGAGCGGCAGGTCAGAATAAGCACATTCATCCACATAGAGGAGCACATCAAAGGGCACACATACGGTAGAAGCATGGAGGTTATGCAGAAGCGCTGGAAACTGGACCTAAAAACAGCTGTTTATTCAAGTAGTAGTTAGAGGTGTGACGGTTGATTTGAAGTTCAGCAAAAAGGTGCGATTAGTTGCCGATGGAGGGGAAAGCAGAGCGAGTGCAGTGAGGAAGGAAGGCCCACACCCAGCATGCTCCAAACAGCTCTGAGAGACACTCCTCACAGAAAACAAGACAAACTACTCCAGTGTTTTGTCTCTACTTTATTTCTTAATCATTAAAAGGTCTACAGGTACAGCACGTGTGATTGACACAGCTTGCATGGTAGGTGAGTGATAAAAAAAGTAGGATCTGATTGCTTTTACAGAAAAAAGAAACTCGTAGTAGTTTCAGATTTGATCTCGAATAAATAACAGTAAACAGTCATGTCTAAACCAATCACTCATCCAAAGTCCATCCTTAAAATCTGCCTTATCGGCCATCACTATGCCATTTATGATTTGAAAATGACATACAAGTCAAACCCTTACTACTTTATCCACTAAACCATACATCTCTCCCATGAGTCTGCATTTATGTTACAATGTCTTTACTCTATTTAAGGCTGCAGACCAGAAAACCAAAAGGCTGATCGCCTCTTATCATTTAATTTAGCAGTTGATCAACACCAAGGATTCATTTGTTAAATTATAAAAAGCATCCTTGTTACCAAGCAGCATCAATTAACTGCATTGAAAGCTCAAAAATACACAAAAGGTGGTCGTTTTTTACACCGGTCATATTCAGTTGCATACCCCGTTGATGCTGACGTCCTCTCTATTTGACCAATTATGACACGTGTCAGAAGAGAAAAAAAAGTCAAGGCACTTACTGATCAATAACAAATCCCTCAGTGAGATGATCTCCATCACAACGACCCCTAAACAGTGATCTGAGTTGTTTGGATATGATGATGATGAGGATGAGATACATTCAACCTGAAAGGTGTTTGATGTTGGCAGAATGAACCCCTCCCTGGGCTCAGCAGTGATGGTAAAGGTGAGACAGGACATGGTGTCGGACAAGAGAGGGGCGTGGGATGGGGGGGCAAGTATGAGCCTACTTGTACCTGGAGGAGTAATATTCTTCCTCTAGCTCATACAGGTCGATGGCGATCTCGTCCCGGAGCGAGGTGAGCTTCTTGTCGCACTCCTCCTGCAGAGAGCGCAGGTGCTGGTTCTGCAGGCTGATGGCGTCGTTCACCGAGGGGAAGTCGTTCAGGATCAGGAACTGCTTCAGATCGGAAACCAGCTTCATCAGGGACTCCCCCGCTCGCACCTGGTATAAAAACACAGAAGAGAGGAAATGGGAAATTAATAATTGTATTTTTTCCCAACTGGGTACATTAGCTATTCACAGAAATCCTAACCGTCTCAGTCACAGAGTTGTGATACATTTCACTTCATCTTAAACCACTGAACCCCCCATTCTCCGAAACTTGATTTGAAATTCTAGTGTACATCCACACTTTACAAAGATACCAATATCATCAGGCTGAGTATTTAAATTAGCCATCAACAATGTTTAATGGTACCAATCTTTGTATATACAGTCTATGGTACCAATTCAAAACACACGGTCAACATTTTTGAAAAATCACTAAAATAAAATGTTGGAAAAAGTAAATACAGAAGTTAGACACAATATTGTTAAATAAAATACATTTGTTTACAATCAAACAGTAATTCAACATAACTGTTTTGTTTAACTGAGGATTGCATAATCTTTACGTCTTAACTCAAAACAATTTGATAAAATGCTTTCAATTAATGTGAGGACATAAATGACTGATTCTATCATTGTCCTTGCCGTCCGGACATGTTTTTGTTCCTGTTTTAACTATGTAAAGCACTTTGTTTTAAATGGATGTGTGACATTTTGTATCAAAAGGTTGCTTTGCTCAATACTCACGATGTTGGCAGCTCTGACGTGCATCTCATAATGATCCTGCTCCGCTTGGGTTGCCCTGGAAACCTGAGTCTCATCCTCTATCTGCAGGAAGACACAATATCACATACATACATTAATCACAACCCATTTCAAGCATTCAATAGGATCAATAGGATGCAGAAATGTGACAAGATATCTTATAAATTAAACCATGATTGGGAATCTTAAAAAAAAAAATGTCGTTACACCAATTATTGTCAGATCCTGTTCCTTTGAGTTTCAGGCATGATAACATAATACATAAAAGCATCCAGGTTGGAAGGTCAAACAGGAACAGGAGACATTCAGACAGATGCAGACCAGAAATAAGTTGTACGGTTCCTGCTTTCATTGAAAAAAAAAAACATATAGAACACTTGTTAAACAGCAGAGAAACTTGATGTGTGTACCTTTGCTGTTTTGATGATCTCTGTGAAGTTGTCCAGGATGGACTTGATGTCGTCCTTCAGTCTCTTGTTGTAGTTCTGCAGTAGAGACTCTTTGCTCTGAGGGAGAACTCTCTGAGCAGCCATCGTGCTCAGGACAAAGCAACACAGCGAGCCTTACCTGTACACATTACATAAACACACAGAAATCCATTCAGAGGACGAGATTTGTAATAAAAAAACATGAGAAAACATCACTGTGGAAAGAAGCACTCGCGTGAAGAGGCGCGCTGTTTGATATGAGACGGGAGAGAAACGTGCACATTACGCAGTTTTTATAAATATTGTATTAAGATATTTTATTGAAGGTTCTGTAAAAGTTATTACTTACTTCTTACTGCATACTTTGACAAAATGTTGTAATTGTTTTCAATGAAACCCAGCTCCTTCTTCTTCTACGTAATATGTAATAGTGGCTAACTTCCGGCGTGTCTGTGTGCTTCCGCCCTCTAGTGGACATTGATTTCACACTGCAGCAACTGGTCCGTTATCTTAGTGGGTATTTTTTAAAGTCATGTTAGTATTTATATTCATTTATTTAATTTATTAAAGCAAAATTCAATGCAAAAAAATATGAAAATGAACCCTTTGAGCTGGATTTTAATTGGCAAAAGACATACATTTCAAAGCAAAAGCACATTATTATTATAAACATTTACTTGAAGTATGACAACTTGTAGTTCTCATTATACAGTGCCTGTTATGTTATATTATTGTTGTTGATTGCATGACTATAAATATAAAGGCAATTTAATCATGTAGTGGGTCGTGATGAAGCTTTGTAAGTAAAAACTATGATGTACAAAGCATAGCGAATGTAGTGGAGTAAAAGAGTACACCGTTTCTCAAAGAAATGTAACATAAGAGATATGAAGCTATTCAAATTATCTAATTAAAATGCCTCATTCTATAAAAAAAACACAATACCAGAGTATGTGTGCTTAGTAACATCCACAACTATGTTTCAAAGCTGCCAAATGACTCAAAAACTGTGCAGAAATTAGATTTACATTCATTTAATAGTTTTTTTATGACATACAACATAGTTTTCAAAGGCAGGCTGTGCAGCATAGCAATTATTTAGAGTGCTTTCGATGTCCAACAGTATTGTCAGTTGTTGAATCCTCCTATACTACACGGGTTGTAATACATTTTACAGCTGTGTTACAATCAAAACACATTCTTAGGGAACACTGACTCTGTGTCAGGTTCTATGTGCAACCTTCATGTATACAAGGTGGGTGAGAAAAGTGAGCAATTATAACAAAAAGATTGTACACTTCAAAAAGAAAAAGAATACAGGATTTGACATTGCAACAGAGGAATACATGAATTACACTTTGGGCCGAAACCGGTTGGATCCCCTTTCTAAAAAAAAGTGCCATGGTGGAAACCCATGAAGTGTTCAATGATTTTACAGAGCACGAAGACAATAAAACATCCCTAAATGTCGACGGAAAGAAGTTCAAATGGAATGTCATCAACCAGTCACCATTCAAGACCTCACAAGATACTACTAATACAATCCCTGACTGGAAATGCAAATCATAAGTGCTGTAGATATTTGTCTGACTGCAGGAAAGCATTTCTCTGTAAACGTGTCTCTTCAGTCGTTGATAAATCCCTGTTAGTACACATTTGGAGTTTATAGGACCTTTGATAGAGATGCATTACAGAAGTGAAGTGCACTATCATACTGCAGACAGCAAAGGATAGATGTACATGACTGTATGCCAGGTATTTGGTAAATGATGTCAATGCAGCATTTTTTTTTTAAGGAGGGCACCAAAGGCAAAAGTGATGAATGCTGTTTGACGTGGTCGGAGGGACGTACTGTAAGAGTGTAAGGCTTTATCTTGTACAATGAGTAGAAAGTGAGTTTACATTGATCTAACATAGGAACTACTATTATGTATTTTCTATGCCTAACATTTAAACAAGGTTTGTACGATAACACACATGGAGAAACTCTGATATTCCACTTTCATAAGACAGGACAAAGACCACAAACATAATACACATGACACCATTTTGGAATCAAATCAAAAATAACATTTCATATCAACAAATGTTTTCCATGTCTGTCTATGCATCATTATCCAGCACCTGCCTCATACACTGTCAGGCATAAAGCCCACAACTCATGGCTTGAGGGCATCATTTTCATGTTGGTTACACATTTCTTGTTTGATATAAATTCCATCTTTACATCTTGTCCTCTTCCGAGCTTCTGTGAAGTTATGATCCTTTGATTCAAGCTTTTTCTGAGAGCTAGTATGATGGAGGAATGAGGCGTTATCAGATTAGTTTCACAGTGAAGCTCAAACGCACATGAAATGAAACCCAAGGTGCAGACAGACTACAAACCCCCTCTCTGTGTGGTGTTTCAACGCTGAAACAAAAAAGTAACTGAGGTAAGAAAACAATCAAATGCTTTACCACCGTGTGTAGATGTACGTACCAAAAGGAATAAGGACAACTCAAAAGAACATGTCAGGAGGAATAAAAAGTGAGTAGGAGTCATGTAATGATGTCAGAGCATTCAAGTGTAAAGAAGCACTATCACTAATCAGAGCCAGTTAAGAGTGAGACCCATGCATGCCTGCAGTCCAGCTGCAGCGCTGGTGACAGCATGCAGTACGCCTGATACAGTTTGCATAATTCAGTGATGAGTGCCCTGAGCTCTGAGTGTGCATTTAGGGCTTTTCTTGCGGGGCCTTGAAGTGAAAGGGGGCCGAGATGAAAGGGTCCACAGGGCCCACTTCTGAGGTCCATGAGTGAAGAGGTCCAGCAGGCACTGAGGCCGCGTTCGAAGCGATGCGCTGAGCTGCTACTGGCTGCTGGGGCGCGGGTCCCTCAAAGTGTCGGGAATATTTGGCCAGAGCTTGTGGGCGGAAAGGCTGTTGGGCAACTTGTCCCAGCGCTCCTGGGTCGGGGGTCACAGCATGAGGGAACGAGGGCAGAGACCCTGCGGCCTCCTTTCTCTTCCCAAACGGAGCCTGAGCAAACACATCGAACGGCTGCGGAGCCGCAACGTAGGCGCATGGAAACGGAGCGTTGGCGAACACATCGGCCGATTCATCTTGCGTGATGGGAAAAGCGGCTTTGGAGAAAACGTCGGCAGCAGCACCTGCCCCTTTCGCTGGCTCGTGTCCATGATTCTGAATGAATGTGCTCGGAGGAGGTTGGTGGAAGGTAGGTGGTTGTGTTGGTGCAGCGCTGGGGTCCGGCGAAGAGCTGAGGGCTAAACCGGGTTCTTCTTCGTCCTCCGAGTCCATCAGCAGAGGTCTGGAGCCGCTGCAGTCCAGAGCTGATGTGTCATTCTCAACGGCTTCCTCATCCTGCTGCTCCTCTTCATGGGCTTCTTCTTCTTCTTCCTCCTCCTCCTCCTCATCATCGCTGGAGTGCACACAGCCCTGATTTGCTTCAAAATCTCGAGGTTCAGTCTCCTGTCCCTCCCCAAGCACAGAGTAGCCATTACTCTCACCTGGAACATCTGTATTAGAGAGCAGAGATGGAGAAAATACATATCAGAGGTGAACTAAAAATTTCAGAAAAGTATGAATATTCTCAGCTTTACCACCTGAGGTCCAGCTGCTCACTTATCTACCAAACCTCGTTCACCTTATTCTATATGACCGAGGTACCCACTGAAGCATCAATAACAACTACCCAACAGTGAGCAACCACCACAACAACATATTCTACTCTGAACGACTCACATAAGACAGACAGGACTAGCCAGCGACATCACATAAGCTTGTTTCCACAAATAGGTTTCAGCACAGCTTCAGGCAGTGCCTCGTGTTAGGGGAGTTAGGGTTGCTTTTAGTGAGAATTGATTGTGTTAAGGCAGAGGGTCAGTATGTATGTGGAAACAAGGACAAAGAGCCTTCACAGAGGTATTGGGGACACACAGGTTAGCACAGAGGAGCAGAGACAGATCAGTCTTACCTCAGCAGTGTCGGCAGAAGAGTTAGCTGGCAGCTCTTGGGAGGATGTTAGTGGCAGCCATTAAAAGGTAAACACCAGATTTTGTTTTACTACTTAGGTAATTTCCTTCATCATTCTTCTATTTCCAACTGTCCACAGCCCTTTTCACAGTTGATGAAAAACTGAAAAATCACCTAAAGATCTTCTCACGGGTAAAAGCTAGCAAAATGATAAACAGTGACGGCTGGTGTTGATTAACAGCCATAGATTCCCCACAATACGGCTCATGGGCTCTATGGTCTGTCCTTGGTACAATCTAACACAGTATTATGAGCTAATGCCTCAAAAAGTCTGGACTGGAATCACAACAGCAGTCAAGAGTAGTGTGCTTTTTTCTTTTTAAAATGACTACCAACATCAAGGAAGCCTAGAAGAACTAAGATTTAAGAGGACGGCAAGAAAGACGAGTAGGAAAACGCCTACAAAACTCTGAAATAGTACTTTAAATATTGGAGTGAAGCTCTAAAAGTAGCAGCAGAAATTGCCAGTGTCTAGTGATGCTTTCGTTAAGAGTTGCACCAATTTTACCCAGACTAATTAATGTTTAAACACTGAAATCAAAGCAAAAAAGGCCTCAGTGGATACCATCAAGTAAATTAGATTACAGCAGGGGTTTTCAAAGTGTGGGAAGGTGAGCCTCCCCTCAGAGAACTTAAGAACAGCCGCGACCCCCCTCCCAATTATTATTGCTATTATTATTATTATTATTATTTGTGTTGCTATAATGCAGGGGTATTCAATTGCATTGCAAGTGAACTGTCAACGGGGGGGGAACCTCGCCGCGGGGAAACGGTGGACCTCTGTCGCCTGTCAGCGCAACTTCGATGATGCCGTTTAAAAACATAACAAATTAAGGGCGGTGCCGGCCGTCAGCAAACCGAGCCGGCCGTCAACGGCCCTTGACGACCGGCCGTTCTGTGATTCTCCAGATGGCCAGTCCACCCCTGGGGCGAGGTGGGGGAACTCGGTCTCCACAGACAGCCTGTCTGTGGAGACCGAGTTCCCCCACCTCGCCCCAGGGGTGGACTGGCCATCTGGAGAATCACAGAACGGCCGGTCGTCAAGGGCCGTTGACGGCCGGNCTCTCTGCTCTGCCATCATTTCCCCTTCATCTCCATCAACTCTTAATTTTTCTCCATACCACCTCTGTTAATATGACTTATTCTTTTGCTCGTTTTTATTCACAATCTCCCTTTTGGCTCTCCTTCCATTTCCATCTCTGTCTCTCTCTCTGTCTCTCTCTCTCGCTCTCTCTCTCTCTCTCTCTCTCTCTCTCTCTCTCTCCCTCTCTCTCTCTCTCTCTCTCTCTCTCTCTCTCTCTCTCTCTCTCTCTCTCTCTCTCTCTCTCTCTCTCTCTGGCACGTTCCAGGTGGCCACTCACGCAGCAACAGTGGCAGTTCAGAGTCCAGCATCCCCAACTTGGCCCGATCCCTTCTGCTGGTGGATCAGCTCATCGACCTCTAGAGGGGGTGGGAGAGGTCGAAGGGGCAGTGTGCAATCCTAACAGAAGGAACAGGGGGAGGGTGGGGGATAGAGATGGGGTGCAGCACCTTAAAACGTTGGTTCAGTGAAACCTCCTTGGCCTCGCCTGATCAGCTGGCTTCATGTAACTCTGCTGGCCGCTCACATTCCCACGCTGGTTTAATGCCTGAGCATATCGTTTGCTTCTGCCCCACGGCACCATGGTCTTCTCATGCTTTCTTCATACTCGCATTAATATCCCCTCATTAAGTGCACTGCCATGGGGATCAACATTCATCGTATTCACTTTGTCCAGGGTCGAAGCTTTATTTAAATAAGCCACCTGCAGGCATCTGTGTCGGGGGTCTGAGTAAAGAGTGAGGAGGCAAAAGGCTGCAGACCAACAGGAGAATGTGAAGCACCTTCCTGTAAAAACTCAACTACTAGTCAATCAATGTTGCAACCAGAGTGAACCACTTAACAGTTCTCAAACCAATGGAGACAAAAACAGTCTTACCTTAACCTCTTAGGAAGTCAAGTCTTTCCAGTGATGGGCTTCTATTCCAATATAGGTCAGTTATCCTGTTATGGACAGCTACTTCTCAAAGCTAACTAAGTGCAGATATACGCAGCGCTGCAGCTTCAGCATTACTGTATATTGCCTCCTCTTCCTGGCTGCTAACAGAGTATTCGTTCTCCTAAAATTACACCTGTAAATATGTCCGTCTGCAACTTGTGAAATCATTGTTTACATGGCTGATGTACTGGGATCTGTTGCCATGGCAGCACGCTTTATTGTTGTGCAGAACACTTCATAATTTGCTACCATTCATGATTTTATAATGACATATTTTATGGCGGGAAAGTCGTAAATCACCATCATATCTTCGACCGATTGTCAAGAGATAAGCACATCGGAAACAACAAGGGAATCCAATTATTTATTAGCCATGCCAAAGCTAAAGGAAACACTTTATTATTATGTTATTTAATGCCATGTGTCAAACTGCCCTCAGGTCAGTGAGGACGAGCAGATGTTTAGCAGCATACCACTGTTTCAGAGAGGGAGGAAGATTACATTTTTGTGTAGATATTATGAGCTTTACATGAAAATCTCCCTTTCCCATTGTCATCCTCTCTATCTCACTTACGCACCTCCGTTGAGTTCATTTGGGGGAGTTCATTTCAGCCAGAAGAAAAAGAAAATGAGGTTCATTCCTGTACATAAAATCACTTTTAAAATGTATTGTCAGCACTGGTCAAAGTTGCATTTTTGTTGTGTGTGTAATAATTACCGGCATTTCATCTATCATGGTACGACTAAATGTGACTTTTATTGATGGCGCTCTAGAATGAATGTATGAACTGAGTACCATTATTTAAAATATATATAAGGATATATAGATTAAAAAAAAGACTTGTGTATAAAGCTGTATTTAAGAGTGCACAGACCCTCTTTGTCCAAAGCCCCTCTGTCTTTTCTCATGTCAAGCATTCAGCTAGTGCTTTTCTTTTAGATAACATCATTGATTCAAACGTGCTCATGACTTGCCTGACGGAGTAGTATTTGAAAATGCAGTACTCACAATTCTAGTACTTGTAAGATACTGTATATAACTATTAGAGATTTTATTAAACAGACGCCAAAACAGAGCTAATGACGGAATTGACTTCCTGATATCTCTGGATTATAACTTCACCTCTTTTCTCTTTCATGTGGCAGATGATCATAAGGAAGGCTAGCGTGACTTAAAAAAACAGCTGTAAACATGCAAGTTCCATCACATCTGATGAAACACAGATGAATCACAAGTAGTACCTTCATATTAAGACTCAGATTTAGCCAAGGTTGGTCTATTGCACGTTTTAGGGTCCATATTGCCTTGGATGCAAACAAAAAAAGTAGATTTCTCTGATATGCCCTCACATAAGCTTCATATAAATAGTTCTCTCCTCCTCCCCACAGTACATATTGTAGAGGTTAGTCATACAAATAATGTTAGAATCGGCATGGGTAAATAAAACTGTTTATCTTTTCTTTCCATCAAATGTTGTTCAGTTCAGTCATTGGCATTTTTGTGGCTAATCTATGCAATCCTACAAAAACGCTTCATGTTTCTATCAGACACTGCAGCGCTGTTTCCTGTAGAGCTCTCGCCTTGGTCGTAGACTTTGACTTGTGTTGCCGTGTGAAACAAAATGTACTTGTTGTGCTGGTTGGGTTGAAATGATTTTGGTTGGATCCAAAATGTTTGACATGATTTGGCTCGTGTAAATATGTCAGCAGGACCATTGTGGAGTGTGTACTTCTATTTTTATGAATTAAGGTTCAAGAAGAGAGACTCTGAATAAAACGTGTTAATGTGAATGTAAATGTTCCCTCTTTGTCATATTATTAGGATTTTTCTCGGAAAAGCATGTCGGAGCGAGCCGTCTTTGTTGACAATGAAAAGTGATTCTTCCTTTGCATGGTTTTTAATTAGCAGACAGATTATTTTCCTTCTAGAAACCACACTAGATTACATATACTCTAATCCAGTGGTTTTCAAAGTGTGAGGCGCCCCTCCCCTGGGGGGCGCCAGAGAGCTTCAGGGGAGGCGCAGCGTGAGAAAAAAATAACGAGGAACAGTGAAATCTAGCTAGTTAACTTCAGCTAACTTTTTGCGAGCTGCAATATGGATCGATTTTTAGTGGAGTTAACTAAAGTGAGAGAGGAGACAGCGTCTGGCAGAAAACGGA